TCAACCTCAAAAAAATAAAAATAAAAATACAAGTTTACCTTCCCTCGTTTTTAACGTCCAATTTTACCCTTTTTCACATCTCACGCGTTTTTACCCTGCGGCTTCCTCTCTCTCAGCAGCACCTGCGGTGATCTCCCCTTTCCCTAATTTCCCATTTTCTCTCCTCTATCTCCCCTCACGCCCTTCTCCTACCTGCAGTATATCCTTCATCGCGATGAAAAACTCCCCTGTGTGCATTATCTCCTCCATCACAGTGAAAGAGTCCTCACTCCTCAAGACCTACTCACTCTCTCTCACGACCTATCAAGGCCCCACTTACCACTTTCTACCTATTTTTTTCTCAATCTCACTCTCTCCCACAGAGAACCCATTTTTTATCTCTCTCTTTCTCTACAATCCAATCTCTCGCTACAATCAAATGTGCCACTGTCTATATGAATTTTTTTTGTCCCTCTCTCTCTACAATCGAAGGCCCATAAATATCGATAAAGGTCCCACAAAGCACATTTATCTTGAAACGAGCCTCATCAGAGGTCGAGCTCGATTTTTGAGGCCCACGTATGAAAAAATATTTCAACTAAATATTTAGAATTTTATCTAATATTAATGTTGTAACTTCAAGTTTGGAGTTAAAGATAGCCACATTGTCTGTATTTAATTTGTTATACAATTGAAAGAATTGATAGGTAATTCTTAAGATGTATTAATTTTTTTAAAAAATTGTTATGGATATTGTCAGTATGTCTCTATTGTCATTTTAAGGTATGAATATTATTGGTGGTACTAATTTTTGGGTTTTTTTTTTTTACTGTATTTTGTTGATCTTATAGATGTTGATGCATACTATTTCTTTTGTTGAAATTTAGTAGCAATTCTTGTTTACAATAATTTTTAATTTGCGTAGCTCTTGTTAAAATTTAATTTGTCAATAAGAATTGAAGGAATGGATTGATAATGGCTTAAGATGTATTGATTTGTGTTCTTAATTTGTTATGGATATTGTCATTGTTTCTGTATTTGTCATTTTAAGGTATGGATGTGATTGATGGTAATAATGTTTTTCTTATTTTTACTATATTTTGTTGAATTTGTATATGATCATCCATCATCTTTATTTTGTTAAAATTTAGTACAAATTATTGTTACAAAAAGTTTTCTTAAAAATTTGTCGAGTTATTTTTAAAAAACAATTTTTAATGTATGGATGTCGTTGATAGTAATAATTTTTAGGTTATTTTTACTGCATTTTGTTGAACTTGTAAATGATGACTCATCATTTTTCTTTTGTTAAAATTTAGTACAAATTCTT